CTTTATTCTCATGTTTCTCTCGATGAATCCTATAGGGTAACTATTTTGAATGAGAACTTGTCTGGATCTCTCCAGTCTATCATCTGTTGTAATATTGGTGTAAATCCTCCTTATTTTTGAAGACAAGCAGTGGACCAGGTTTCATTTTCATCTCAAAGAGATTCACTTATGAAAATTCATGTATTGACTATTCCATGTTAGCTTCCTGTAGATTTATCACTATTTCAACAAGATATCCAGGGAATGAAATTCAGAAGTCATATCTGATTGAACTTGGTAGAATGCTGGCAGTTGTTGAACTCCTTTATTATCATTTATATGTGGGATATTCTGGACTTTTTAAACAGCTGCCGTCCTGTGATTCAGTTCACATTAGAGAAGGGGTCCTACGCAAAAATATTTTTCCTGAACTTTCAGGAGAACATGAACAAGAAGCTGACATGGAATGGACAGCTCACTAACTTTTATAGTTGGATGCCTCTATATACTGAACGAAACCTTATCCATCCACTGAGCCATAGGATTTGCAGCCCTGACACTATGGCAGGGGAGCTGAACACTCTGGAAAGAATCCTCCTCGAAAATGGCTATCCAGAAAGTTTCATCACGAAATCCATGAAAACTAAACCGCCCACACTTTCTGCTCCTAAAAAGAGCCTCTACTTGAACCTACAATTCAACGGAGACTCATCATCAGACATACTAAGAAACCACATATCCCGCACACTGAAAAAAACTTTCTTCACGACTGAACTTTGAATAACTTTATCTACAAAACCAATGATTCGCGTGGACGTGAAGGATAAGCCACCACTGTTGGCCTCTTCAGTGTGCGTCTACCAATTTACCTGCTTGTGTGGAGCTAGGTATATCGGCCGTACCTGGCGTCTACTATCCAGACGCATAATCGATGACTTACCCTCATGTTTTTATAAAGGAGAAAGAAGATCCCCCTACAGCTTTATCCTAGAACATCTGATCCAGTCTGGACGCCAGGCTTAGTCACAAACGAACTTTAAAGTTATCTAGAGAATAATTAGGAATTTTGCTAAAAGAGTACGAATCACACTTCTTCAAATCGCAGGACCAATGAAGATTCATATAGTAAATCCTGAACTCTGCATACAGAAGAAGTTTATTCAGCCATTAAATTTACAATGGGCATGATCTATTTTAATAACATACGTAATTTATGCTTTTTGTTTGTTAATTGTATTGTTTTCTTACCCCACCCCCTATTAAATCTCTACCTCTTATCACCACTGTTGTTAACTTGACTCCCGTTCAAATTTGAGTTGAATTCTGCTCAACTCCGTCAATTATATTACGTCACTCTACTTATTTGATTTAAGTATTGGTTTGTAGATATTTGATTGATTGGTTACAGGATTTCATCATGAGCTGACATTAGTTAGAGAACCATTGGAAAACCTGGTTACAAGGCAAGTTCGTAGACCACTAAACCACTGGGACTCAATCCAGCGGCCAGTGCATCAATTCTAACTTCTGCTAATTCACGACACGGCACGACCTCTAGCCAATGTCTTCGGCGAGTATTTGTCTTCACACACGACCTGCTGCACCCTACTGGTCACGACTTCCCACTAGAACCCCAGGTAACTACCTACTTGAATAGGGCCAGTCGCTAGTGAGCATCTCATTGATATTTGATTTAATTTTAGTTTCCGCCCGATTGACGCTTTCTACATTGCGTAATTTGTTATCCAAAATGTACTGTTCTAATGACACATCTCTGGAAATATTCCTTTTGTTGCTAAGACAATTTACTATATATATATATATATATATATGCAATTGTGTAGTTTGTGATATTTCCGAAAAGAGTAACTCTGAACGCCTTTTCTATTGTAATTATATGGTTATCTCACATGGTCAACTTATATATTGCTATTTTAAAACATAAAAACTGTGTTCTGACTGGATAGCATATACTAGTGATGTAGCTCTTTATCTAGATTCGAGTCCAACAACTGGTTTATAGATGATTTAGGAAAAACTAACTCATAAAAAAGCTCCTGCCTTAATGCATAAATTGTTCAAATAGGCACAAACGTTGTTACTGCTTTTATGCTTTCATTTTCTGAAAATCACTCTTCATCGAATTATTATCTCTTCCAAACATATTTGTAGTATTTAGTCTGTAAGCAGCTGATGAGAAGCCAACAAAATAAATGATGGTACCATATTATTCTGCAAAAACTGTTGTTCTTGCTTTATTCTTATTTGTTTGTCTCGTCATCAATTGATTTTTGATCTTCCATGTATACTTCGAAGTGTGACATGGTTCTTTAACCGATGTCAGCTCATGATGAAATCCTGTAACTAATCAATCAAATCCCTACAAACCAATATTTGAAAATCAATGAGATGCTCACTAGCGACTAGCCCTATTCAGGTTGGTAGTTACCTGGGTTTCTAGTGGGAAGCCATGACCAGTAGGGTGCAGCAGGTCGGATGTGAAGACATATACTCGCCGAAGACATTGGCCAGTAGTCGCGCTGTGTCGTGGATTGGCAGAAGTTGGAATTCATGAAATGGCCATCGGATTGGGTCCCAATGACTTAATGGTTTACACGCTAGCTCGCCTAATAACCAGGATGTCCTGGGTTCAATCTCTGGTGGTAGGTTCGTACTGATGAAGAGCCCCAAACTAGGGCGAAACAACTGAAGGTGATAGTCAGCCATGTATAACCAGGTAAGTCAAATTGATTACGGTGTAATAATTTAAGCTGAGAATAATTGTCTTTGTATTAAAGGGAGTTAAAATATATGTGGGTATATGCATCTATTTGAGAGTAATTCTCAAGAGAAACAGTCTGTCAAGACCATTGTTACAAATGAATGATTTCTTATCTAACTAATAAAGCCAGAAGTGTAGTTCTGAAAGTGTCAGTTTGCAGCGATTTGACTGATTACAAACTTACTTAAGCCAGACAAAAGTAGAAATGGACAGTTATTCCATTCTTGTGTATGGACTCTTCTTCAGTACGTACGGGGTCGAAACCAGGACCTTGAGATTACAAGGTGAGCTCGTTGACCATTCAGCCACTAGGATAGAATCAAATGGTCTATGAATGCTGTTCACAATGCATAATGCGACAGCTAACCAATGTCATAGGTAAGTATTTTTCCTCACATCCAGTTTGGTGGATTTTACCTCTTGCCTAACCTACCTTCTTTTCGAAATAATTGAGATTTGTAGCTCAGATGGATGATTGTGGTTTAGCTGTGTTCCCTGAGCTGGTTGATTTAATTGTGGAGCTTTAGCTGTGCTTCTAGACAATAACTTCAGTGCAGGTTTCAGTATGAAATGAGCTTACTTGAATTCTCCATGAATTGTATTTATTTGTATCTCATGGTGACCACTGTCGTCAATATTTCTTAATTTACTTATCTATTGATCATTTTTATTGACTTGGAATTTGAACTTTTTTGTCATGTCATTTATTTTTTTATTATTTAGTAAATTTGGTCTATAGTAATGTGTTTGTTAATCTCTGATTCATTTGAGTACCAGGCTTCTAGAAATCTCTCGATAGTATTTTTTGCTGTTTCCTATATGTAAGATTTCTACATTATCTCAATCAAATTCGTGTCCATAGTTATCTACATGAGTCGATATGACAGAATGCATATCGTGCCTTTTCACAGATGATTTATGTTCTTGGGTTCGGACAGGAAGGGGACTCCCACTTTGGCCGATGTAATGTTTATCACAGTTCATACGATTTATTTTGTAAATAGTATTAATTTTATCTTCTTTCCCTGATGGATCTTTCGGTTTACACAGTATCGAATGAAGTGATTAGACTGGTTTGTGTGCTATATCTACTTCAAACGGTCTTAACATTCTAGCTGTTATTTCAGAGATATTCTTTGTGTATGGTAGAGTGAATTTTCATGTAGTCTTTGATGATGGTTTCTTGCTAGTGTTACAACTTGAGTTTAAACAGTTTTTGATGAAATTCTGTGGGTATTCATTCTTTTTGAAGACAGCTAGTAGCTATTTTCCTTTCATTCTCTTCAGCGTTGGAGTGCCACAGTGTATTTGGACTCTTTCAAACAATGTCTGCACACAGTTTCCTTTGTGAGTTATTACTATTATAGTTGAGTATTTGATCTGTGTGCGTTGATTTTCTGTATACTTGTGTTTCTAAATTTTCTGTACTAGTTCTCTTGCTTAAGACATCTAAGAATGGAATTTTGTTGTCTAATTCTTCTTCTCTTGTGAATTTGATGTCTTCAAATATGTTGTCTATTAATTTACGGGTATATTCCAAATCTTTTCTTTTAATTATTACAAATGTATAATCAACATAACGTGCTCAGACTTTTGCTTTAATTATATGTAGGGCTATTAATTCTAATCTTTGCATGAATACTTCAGCTATTAATCCCGATATGGCCGATGATCCCATTGGTGTTCCTTTTATATGTGCATATATTTGAGTACTGAATTGAAAGTATGTTGTAAGACATAATTCTATGAGTTCTATCCAAGTTGAACATTGCGCTTCTGTGTTCTCATCACTGTGGAATAGTTGTAGTATAGTTTCTTTTGTTAGTAGTTTTAGACCGACTGAAGTGTATAGTGCTATGACACCAAAGCTCACGATTATTTCATTGTCATCCACTTGGATGTTTTTGATTTCTTCTAAACATTTCTTCTCCGTGCTTACAACTTTCTAGGTCAGGTTTTAGAGCGTATCAATTTGAAATTCAAACCTGGATCTCCCACATGTCTGGCGGAAGTATTCTGTCCGTCACTGAATCGCTGATGAACTCTGATCAAATGTAGGTTAACCTAATAAATTTATTGTTTTTATTGGCTTTTTATAAGAATGAAACTTAAGACTGATGAGTAGGTTTCAAATCCATGAACTTTCGCATGTAAACCAAATAACTACACCACTGGAATTTTGTAAATCTTTTATATCGAAGTAAATAGTATCATTTTATCAAAACAAAAACAAAAGAAGTTTATATTTAGAAAAAATTCAATTTTCAAGACATTTTTTAGAGTTGATCTATTAAAATAAATTCAAATAAAGAGCTTCAAGATAATCTTCTGTTGTTTTTTTTAAAAATTCTTCTTTGGTTGTTTGCTGTTACTCCTATCTGCTATTATCACTGCTTCTACTACTACTACTATTTTCATTTTCAGTAGTATAATTTGTGAATACAATTAGTTATCATATGTATTATACAGTATATGATTATTCCATCTATTATTGTTACTACTACTATTATTATTATTATTTACAAAATGCATTATTTGAGTTATCCTCTGATCAATTATATCTATACGTGTTGATAAAATTTGTATATTAGTTAAAAAATTACTTCTTAACGATTCAATATGTGACATAACTAATTTATGAAAATTTTCTTGTACACTTTCAATATCAATTTCAGCTGGGGAATAAGAAATTAAATTAGTACAGTTTGGTTTGCGTAGTAATTCTTTTGATAAGGTGACTCCTTTATCTTCTAATGCTTCTTTCTCTTGTGTAAATGATCGTCTAGAGGTTGTTATTCTGACTGCGTTCATAGTAGTGGTATTGTTAGCATTAGTGGTATTAGTGGTAGTAAGAGTATTAGTGTTAGTATTAGTAGTAGTACTACAAGTAGTTGCATTTGTTGCTGTTGTTGTGGCTGCTGGTGTTTTGGGCACATCAAGAAGTTTACTCCAGCTTAATTTTGGTTTAGCTACACTTATTAAAGTAGCCAGTGAAGTTACTGCATCTTGCATTGGACCCTAAAAGAAGAAAGTTAAAAAAAAAAAGAAACTTAGCAAGCATGATACATTTTATCAAGAGTTATTTCACAGAGATTTGATTTGTTCTTCCAGTTTGACCATGGACTGGTGTTAGTTAGAGAACCACTGGAAGACTAGGAGTACTGGACAGCTGTTTTGCCTTAGTATGTGACTCCTCATCAGTAAACAGCCACTGGGATTTGAACTGAAGATCTTCCAGTTACAAGGCAAACTCGTGAAACATTCAGCCAGTGTCATCCGGGAGTATTTGCCCTGACGTTTAACCGGTGGGTGATTACTGCCGATGAGTCCCAAACTGTGGTGAAACAACTATTTAACACTCCCTGGCTTTTTACGATTTTCTAGTTGATATCAATCCGTGGTCAAACTTCACACAGATAGAATCCCTACAAATTAATTCTTGAAGATGGCAATAATAATAATAAAAATAACAAAAGTTATAGTAATGCATTGTTTGCAAGAGTAAACTAGCCATTTATTTGTTGATGAGAAAGTTGATTTGCTATTTCAGTTCTAGGATTCTTCTCTCTATAAAAAATGCATTCTAAATGAGCATTGACTTCTGGGGAAATGTAGACACTTTGAGTAATGTCTGAAGTTCCAGGTTTATTTGCATTAACTGAAATTTTTACGATTGACTTTTTCTGTGCAACTGCTAAGTTTATGAAGGTATCAAATATACACTGTTCCTACGATTTATTTCCATTATCGAAAATGTTGGATGCGTTACAGAAATATTGGGTACATTTAACTGTACGTTCATTGGTTAACCAGTAAACCAATAAGCGATAACAACTTTTCATGAGTGCATCGTGCATACGTTTCTTTACTTATTAAGTGAATTCATTATGTACCCGGTAAAGTCATTGCCTCTTTGAGTGTTCACCCGTTTGAGATGGAAGATCTTTTAATTCATTAGAAAGTTTGTTCTGGAACTTCCTGTCCGAATTCACACTTTCCATTTACGAGTTGGTAAGTGGGTGCCTTATTTTTTAGCTAGTTACCTTCATTCCACGGTTTACAAACCTTGTTCCACAGGTTTCGTAAATGTTTGCTATAGAAAATCTTGCTTCCATTATCACTTATGACATTTTGTTAGACATCTTCACGTTTATGAAAGCATTTTATTTTTGATTACAGCTTGATTCCACACCGTATTTTCGGTACAAGTATGGAATTTTCAGCAGGTGATATCGGTAGCCCAAATTTCGCAGGCCGACCATAGATATCACGTGTACCTCGGCAGGGGGATGGAACCCTGCACCATGTGCATGGTCAGCGAGAGTCCTAACCACTGTGCCACCGACGCATGAAGAATTAGCGTATTCTGACACAGGGAGTTCCTTTGTTGAAGACTAGTTTTCCCCAGTTCATATCATGAGTTACAAGAGTTACGCATCACCACTTACGATGCCTTTAGATGAGTTACATGACAACATACTATCAAACGAAGCAAGAGCCTCTGAACCTAAGAGAAGAATGAGACTACGTTGGTCCAACAGGGCAACAAATTTCATGATGCAGCGAATGTCAGCTTTGACCTACGACAACACAAGTCCAGACTGTACTTAAGATTGCAGATATGCAGCTTTTGAAGCATAGGCAGGGACTAACACCTAGGGGTGATCATTTTGTATTAGTGCAAACAGACTATGAGACAAAGTTCCAGCATAGTGGACCAGTGCAACAGTCTATTTCATCCAGCATTACATGTCTCTTATCTAATATCCTTACTCTAACTGACATTGATTTAGATTATAGAACTTCTCTGCATTCGATGGACGAAACTGTTCTATGTGTTCTACATCCAACATCCTCAAATGTCCGTTGATACTGTCATTGGTGTCATCCTCAACTTTTTATGCAGATGCAAACTAATTATGACATAAATGCGAACCGGGCTACAAGAAATGAAGCCATTATATGCTGATCTTCCAGTCGACTCCAGAACATTGGTGAGAATGACAGATGTTGAACAGAAGAAAGACATTAGTCCGTTACTTAAGTAATGATTAAATTTTTGTCTTCAGTCGTGAAAGCATAAGTTCTTTGAAAATATCATCCTGTCTTCTCATAGATGAGACAAAGGAAAAGTTGTGGATGAAGACAGAATGTTTAATATCTGATAAGATGATTTTCTCCCAAACTGCTTGAACAGTTTCAAATGTCCTCAAACGATACTGTCACTTGTTTAGATCAAAAGCATACCAATAATCTTGCTTACACTTTTCAAAGTCCCATGTGATGCAACATAACCTCTTTACAACATTCAGGAGGAGAATAAAGGAAGACAACACAAAATTAAGAGTAGAACAAAGGAGTTAGTGAGTCACAAAAGCAGAGACTGAGTTATACGACAAAATCTTTGTCTCCTTATCTTCTAGTGGGATAAATGTAAGTCAACAAAAGTCGCGAAACCATCATTAAAGTTCCTGTGAAAAACTAACACTCAGGTAGATATTATTAAATTTATTCTGTAGAATATAACTATGAATACTACAAGATTTATGGGCTATGCTTAAGCCTAAATCTAACATTAACAGTTTGATATTCAAATGAATTAGGTTCGAGACCATATGGATAAGATCCTTGGTCAACTGAAGATAGGAAAGTTGTTATGTGACAATAATCTGATTAAGAAGGTGTCGGATTGACATCATACTGATGAAATCAAGTTCAAAACAGCAAGTTAAGTCATGCAAAAGTAAGAAAGTTAAGAATGAAGAAAGTACATCACTCTGAGACACATCGGCTTCAGTAAGCAGTAAGGTATAGCTCCTCTAGTGTAATGTTTTTTTCAACAAAAAAGTAAGAAAACGATTGGTCTGCAGCTTAGGACTCAGTGTCTGCCAAGTTGAACTTATTCACAGTAAGAGTAATCTATGAAACGAATCTAAAACAACACTGTAGTTTAAGAGGGTACAAGGAACAAACTTTGTACTAGAAATAAAAGCTTCAGTAAAAGTTCGATGTGTAACAACAAAAAGCCAGTGAATATGTTAAGGTTTTGAAAAAGACTTAGCTTTTGTCACCTTATATCAAAGTTTTGAATAATAAGCCATTAGGAATGCTTATATTCTGTGTATCACATAGTTTTACGAGTTGATCACAGATTGATATCACTTAGAGAACCATTGAAAACCAGGGAGTACTGCCAGACAGCTGTTTCATCCTCATGGGGAAGCATCGGTAGTAACCACTCACCACTAGGGTTCGAACCTAGGACCTTCCGGTTACAAGGAAAGCTCGTATACCATTCAGCCACTGGGACCCAACTGAATGACTTCTATCAATTCGTGATGCATTTAACGCGACCACCAACCAATATCATCAGTGGGATATCCATCCTCACATTTGACTGGATGGAGCTTGCTGGTCACGACTTCTCACTAAAACATCAGGAGACTCTGTCCTGTAGCAAGTCACTAGCGAGCATCAGATTAATTTTCAAGAGTTTGGTTTGTAAGAATTATATCTGTTTGTACGAGTTGATCACAGATCGATATCACATATGAATGAATGAATTTTTCAGTCATTCAAGGTAGTATGTCAACAAATTCATTTTCCCCTTAGATGATTCAGTCAATGATTAGTATTGTAATGAGATGGACAAAATGACATTTTTATTGATCAGTACTTCTTAATGTAAGGCATAGACTAAGCATCTGTCGTTAATCTAGTTCACGGTTGATATTATTGATGTTTTATTGAATTTTATTGTTGTTCCCTTTGAAAGAGGACAATTTTTCTATCGTAAACTTTAGGTTAATTAGTTATGCAAAATGATCACACACACACACTCAAGCATAGCTGTTCTATTTCTCACTAATATAAACCTTTCCCTGAGGATTGAATCGTGCTTTCTGTTTCTTTTCTATACATCTCAAAGGGGAGGGGGGGGTGAATAATTTATAGTCTGAAGTGTTTTCATCGTGTGTTCAGGATGGGATGGAGAATATTTATACCTCAGGTAGATGATATTGGTATGTGCATTTTGTGTCCACTGAGCTGGATGGTTTATAGTTGCGAACCTCCCACTGTCCATCTAGACAACATCTTCAGAGTATACCTTAAAAAATCGAGTCCGGATCAAGTGGGTGGTTGGATAGCATTCTAACGCTGAATCAGTGAAGAGTTTCTTAAATATTGGCGTCACGAAGAATGTTCATTTACAGATTCGTTATATATATATATATATATATATATATATATATATATATATATATATATATATATATATATAGACTTACAGTAACACTTAACGAAGTGTTTGCACTAGTTTTCCCACTTTCTCTTGGTTCATTTGAACTGAATGAACTTGATCGACTTAAATTCGATGTAGCCACACTACAGAACCGGGATATTAATCGTCGGACTGGATGATCTGGTGCTAAACTTGATATTGGAGGTTGTGTACGTCGCATTTCATCTAATTCTTGTTCTCGTCGAACATCAGATATCTTTCGAAATATTAACTATAAGAATAATATAAAATGTAGTAAAACATGAGATTTGATCAACTGAAGTGAAAATTGATAAAAAAAAGAAAATAAGCTGATGAAAATCGGGGGAATATTAGTTTTGAAATCTCAATCTAATTATGAAGTATCAAGCTTAAATTCCCCGACCTATATAGACTTTTCAACTGAATCCTGCGAAAAGGTTTGGTGCACACTGCTGAAATTTTCATGGCTGGGACAGTGTGTTACTTGTTATTCATTGATCTTCCAATGGATGTTAGCAACAACTAAGTTATTATAAAGCGTACTATTGACGACAATGTGAAAACTGGACAAAGTATTTGTTTTCCGATGACTTAGTGCTATAGCATTGGTTTTAAGTGGTATTATCCCATAAACTTCTATCTCACGACACAGTGGTAATTGAAGTATAGATATACACTCACTGTTCTAGTGTTGAAATAAGAGGAAAGTCACGTACTTTCGACTCAGCTTTTCGTAATTAGCTAATAAGTACAATATAACACTGCATCCTTTTGGACATTAGGAATACGTATATCCTTCTTTAATTATAATACTTCTCTTTTGGCTGTGTGTACACTGACAATGTGTTGTTTAACAACATGAGTTTGTTTGAGTGAATGAAGGTCATTCTGATCCAGTACTGTCTGCGGAAGTGTTGGTGTGTGCTTCTCGTGAACAGATCTTTAGGTCCCAACTCGTTGGAAATATTCTCCTCGACTCTAAGGTACCTTTTGTAGTTGAACCATCGTTAACTAATTTTGTTCTACAGTACTTGTTTTGTATTTAGAAGTCTACACTGCCTGTATAGCTGCTCCACAGCGTTGTTGATGTAAGTTTGAGTTTTTGTATTATTATTGTTTAATAGAACTGCTAAAATATTGAAGGATAATCGTCTTTCCCCTGCGTTTGGAACGCCTCATGATAGCGGGTATCCCAATGGAGGTTTTGTGGGCTATACAGTAGGACGTAGAGGTCAGTTTCTTGCGTTCAAACCATAGCCGAATAAATTTGGTAGTTACAACTATCTATCTTTCAGTAAGTGCTCAAGTTTTGTTGAAATATCGACTAGAATCTTAAGTCGTATGATATTTCAGGTTTGATCCTAGTCTGACTTCAGTCAGAAGACCATTGAAAACTAGGTCTTGGTAATCTTTTAGTGGTACGCATCTATGATCCCACTGGGAATCAAACGTGTGACCTTCAGGTTACAAGGTCGGACAGAACTCAGTGGCCCACCAGTACTAATTTCTACCAAGTTGTGATAAATAATGCGAATGCTAGCCGATGCCATCGGTGAGTAGTTATCCTCATATCCGAATTGGTCGACCCACCTGGTAATAACTTCCCACTTTAGGCAGCTTCAGCCTGTACTCAGTCACTAGTGAGCATTAGATGTATGACATTTCTTGAATTTTTATACCAAACGAATATTAAAGTGTGGTGATGACCTTCATAGTATGTTAATGGTATTCCTGTTAAGTAAAGCATTTGGAAGACAATTATCACAATATGATATTATTTAGTAGTTTTTCTACGATCGCGTTAAAACTAGCATGGTTGATAATAATAAAATATTCGACAGTTGATCAGTTATATAAAATAGAAGCGCATATTAATATAAACCATTATATTTGTAATAGGTCAAGTAGTCCAAAGGTAGGCAAAGGTTGAAGTCTATTGTTTTCCTTATTTCATATAATCTAATTATTGTAAAACATTTTATTATTGTCAGCCATCGATTGAGTTGGTTAGGACATGTGTTACGTATGCCTAAGCATAACCTTCCTCGACGAGCAATTTTAGCTGACATAGGATGGATTAGGCTGGAAAAAGCTAGTGGTGGTCAGACGAAAACATGGCTTCATCAGTCAATGAAATCCACAACAGTTAGTTTAAGCGAGCCACGTGGGGAGGTGTAGACTTCCTGACTGGTTGGGGTCCTCGGGTCGGTAAACACCAATAGCTAGAGACAATTGGTGATATGCCTTAAAATCGTTCTCAATGACTGGCGCAGATGCACACACTCCTTGTGACTTATGATACCCAATAAAACTATATGGTTCTTGCATATTACTATTCCTTTTGCCTCGTATCTTTGTTTACCGTCTCTGTTTTGTATTTCTTTTTACTTTCTTCTCTTATTTTGTGTACTAAGTGAAGTGTGGCGACTCTGACCGCTGCACATCTGTGCAGATTTCTACGTTGACACCAGTCAGTCAGTCATTGTCAGCCATGCTAGTTGTAACTCAGTTGTAGAGAAACTACTAAACGAAATAATCTCATAATATTTGTTTTGTCAAAGTCACTACCAGTACTGATATTCTTTATTCGTTATTTATTGAAGTAAGTGAAACAGCCACTATCATTTCAAAAATATACCTAATGTTACCGTACAACTAACTGTATTTGCGCGCGAACATGTAGAGTATTAAATAGGATATTAAAATGAAAACATTTAAAGTTTGTAAACCATGCAGATAGTTAAAACAAAATAAAAACAGTTGATAAACTTACACGATTTCTTAAATTATAACTCAATACAAGTGTACGAGAGAATGAAACAGCGAATTGTGAATAAAATTTCAATATATCTATAAGTTTGTCACGTTTAATACACTGTAAATCACAATAGGTTAAGGCGCGTACACTGGCAGCACTTTGGCCAACATCTGTATCTTTAAATATTGGTTGACCGAATATATCACCTTTAGCTGTGAAAGACATTGAAAAAAAAGAAACACAGGAAGAAATTAAATTAGTCTGACATACAACTGTCCACTACTCCTTGATTTCTTTCGGTGACGAAATGTTGTGTCTTGAAGACAGTAGTTCTGTCAGACAGTAACCATTACACCTATTTACATCGACAGCAAGACTGCTATTTATTACTTACTACTACTCCCAGAGAAGGAAATACCAGTTGCATATTTAGATCACACTAGACTGACTGGCCACTATACGCTATTGTTTAATGTCAATGACCTTCTTCCCCCTAGTTACATCAACTGATAATGCATATTCTGTAGCATTTTGTTAACTTTCTTGAAGCCATTCACTAGTGTCTAGCATATGTTATAATATGACTGAAATTTGGTGTAATTTTACCACGAGTTACACACAATGCAAATATCTCACTGCATTCAAGATTCAGACGACTTAGTCATCCACTTCTCTTGAGAGAAAAAACGATAAACTGAGTAAACTGGAAGCAGTAATAGAGATAATCAGATTCCTTCTTCTGTTGTTCTGCATATTTAATCAGGATATAACAAAGATTTAATCAAATCTGTAGGACAGTAAAGTTGAAGTGTCATTTGAAACTTGCATTATTCTAAAAGCACAAAAGGTATTACAAAAACCTTGGAATAATCACTTATTCACAGATTTTCAGATAACTAGAGAATCAAAGAAGGTTATTTATTTTTTTGTATATATTCCATGTTCAGGAGTGGTAAACTGGATGTTTTTGTTTAAATATTAAATATGGAATATTTATACACGCCTAGGTAAACTTTAGACGACTTTGTGGGAAGAACTGATAAAATAACAATAAAGAAAACTTATTTTCAAACCCCATTTTGTTGAAGAGTCCAATAACTAGACTGACGAAACAGCTGTTCAGTATTCCCTGCAGGCATTTTCATCTCATGACGAAATCCTCCAATCACTCAAACAAAACAAAACTCCTACAAAATCAATACTTGTAATTTATTTTCATTTGAAGTGGGTTAAATAAACCAACCAGTATTATTTACAGGAGCCAGGACATATTGTAGCCCTCTGCCTAGAAGTGAATAGTGGAGAAATATCTTATGGCGGTCTTCTAGAAAAATCAGTATCCACAAAACTTCATCAAAAATCATCTATTCTCAACTTAACCGACCAGCCTTAAATCATGCAATAATGCACAAAGAAAATCGTCCTACCATGTATGAAATCATATCTGAAGTCACTATAAGACTGTTGAATCATTCTGGAATATATGTCGTCCACAAGTTGACAAAATCCCTTCATAGTCAACAAAGTTAACCAAAAGACACAGTCGCTAAAAGGGGAAAAACCAACACCATCTGCAAGAGAAATTGCAACAAATGTGAAACACATGATATTGGTCGAAGTCGACAACCTCTTCATCTTCCCGTCCACGAACATAAACTTGCTTTCAAAAGACATGCGGACAGCTGCAAACACCAGTCCAAACGGAAAAATTTACAAATCGTAGACACAGGAAATACCGAAAATGTCAGAGAATTCCTAGGAGCCTGGTACTTGGGTGAAGATGCAATTAACAGACAAATTGGTATAAATCTGATTCAACAAACATTAAAAAGGAAGTTACATTGACTAAAAGTCAACTATCAGGTCAAGAAAATAATCATTACTAATTTCAGTTGTACGGAAGGATGAGAAAATTTCTAAAAACATCTTATCACATTCGAGGTCATCAGAAGAAAAGGCTAACAGACTCTTAAAGAAATTAAAAGCTCATTTATCAATGAAGTCTGTATTGAAGATGTTGTCTGGAAAGTCAATGAAAGCTTCACAATTAAGCCAACGATTTCAAAGAACACAACTACACCAGTATGGCCCACCTGAGTTACAACTCTTCTTCATGGTTTCTAAATCGACTTTCCCCGACTATGAGAAAATCAATCAGTCTGTTTAGTGTACTTCTTTTTATTGCGTAAAAGTAACCATTATCATTTTGTTCGATCACAAAAGTAGACCTAAAAGTCGAACAGGTTTTCAGTCAGTTCATCACTACGTAGAAAGTTGAGGAAGTCCTTGATATACTTTATCCAAGCAAATGAAATCGATCAGCAATAAATACAGTTCCTTTTTTTAAATACAAAGACGCAAAATGAATTTATTTTAAAATGTGTACACAAATGCTTGCAAATCCACCAGTTATTTTTGCCTTAGGCGAAGTAACCAGTTTTAAATATTCATACGGAAACATGTTTTTTTGATTTCATCATGGAGAAAACAACTATTGACAATGTTAAGCTGTTAAGATGCTTTTCAGTCGAAAAAAACACAAGCCAATGTGAACAGTATAAATACTCAGCATAGAGATAGAAAAAAAAGGTGACTAGATAACTTACATAGAATAGCTACAATTTCATCATCTTGTATCACCTCTAAAGAACCGGATACTACAAAACACAATTGATCAATACTTTCACCTTGATGGAAAATTAAATCTCCCGGAGCTGTGTGCTGCACAGTAAACGAGACAGCTAAAGCACGTAGACAACTTTCACTTGCTAAACGAAATGCTGGATGTTCACTAAATACAGCCCGATACAGGTGAACACATAGATCAGCTTTCATATCTTTTGGACAGTGATTAAGTACCTAAATACAAATTAAGTAATATAAGCAGATGTTGTAAAATAAAATTGACAAAATTTTGTTAATAATTTAGGTTAACTTAGTTCATGACCGTATTTTATTACAGTTCCAGTAGACATTAGGTGTACAGTTTTGTTTAAATTATTCAACAGATTAGTATGAATGGAGAAGGAAATGTAAGATATTTACAAATTTTCAGATTTACATTCATCATATTGTGTAGATTGCTTAAATCTAGGTGAAAATTCACCAGTGTCCTATTCTAACATGTGATCGGCTTGATGTTGTTAATAGTGGTCAATAAAACTAGAGATATACCATCTTCCAGATTCATATGTTACTAGAAATCTAACAAAGACCACGATACAATATACATGGAGCCTAAAGATGTCGGTAAAGGTCACATGTTCGATTTTCTGAACATTTACCTAAAAGCCTGCGTTCCAAGGAAACAAACGTTTACCATAGTGCCACTGCCAGATATCTCATCATTATGGGTCATGAGGTTGATGTCACTAAATCTCTTGAAATTATCAATAGACAAAGTGTGGTGAGAGCAGGCTGCTAGCCGATTGGTTGGCACTAATCTACGTTAAGGTCTAGGTCACTAATATGGGCCGTGAGAAAATATGAACAAGGCTGAGTCAACAACCAATCACAGCAAAGTTAACGTGGCAAAATATGATTCGCAGATAGAGAACTCTATTTGTCAAGGAATCCCGAAACAACCAATCAGAAGCCTGCGTTTGTCTACCTAACTTCTGATAAACAACCAATCAGATGACTGCGCTTGTCTATAATAATGTAGTTGAAATATGTATAAATACGTGTTGATTTTCATAATAAAACGATCTGTTGCCTGGCCCTTGTCTTCTGTTGTTACAAAAGTAGTTCAATTCTCTTCAGGTTTGCCGAGGTCTTCTCTGTTAAACTCTTGAAGCCTGATTAATGTGTTTAGAAATAAGCAGTAATCTGTCTTTCCTTGCTCCGGTAACTGAATCCTTTTACTCTGCCTTTCACTTGATTACGTCATCTTTGGCTTTAAACTCTCTTGCCTTTGATATAGTGTAACGCAGCTTAGCTCTTGTTTCTGCTATTTGACTTGAACTCAGCGTGTTGTTACTCCATTTTTTAGTTACTCATCATCTTATTCACATCTTGTCGTATTACGTAATTCTTTTGCCATTATATCTAGAGATTTACCTTTCCTTTGAAATTGGAACTTCCGTTTATGAACGTTTATGAGGAGTGTTTATTAAGTTTGGAGTCCGCTATCAATTGATATTACGTAACATTTGCAACATCTTAAAATTCTTTTGTACATAAACTCAATAGACTGTACACAGCTGATTAGAAGCTGACGAAATAAATGAGGATACCGTCTTATTCTGCGTAAGCTGGTGTTCTTGCTTTATTCGAATTCGTAAAGAGGAATAAGTTTTGACTGCACACATGACACTAGTTAGTGCCCAGTCAAAGCATCCAATCCAATCCTACAGGAGGTCAATAGCGAGCGCGGATAACTCAGTGGTAACATCTCTGACTTCAGAACTGGGCGACACAGGTTAGATACTCAGAGAAGACATGAGTTCCTTCAAGATTGTAGATACGTCTTGCTGATTGTTGAGTACTAACTATCCCGAAACCTAAGTCCAAGGCTTCCTGATGATTACCTGTGCGTTGGTGGCACAGTGGTTAGGACTCTTGCCGCCCATGCACATGGCCCGGGGTTCGAGCCCACGCCGACGCACACCTGATATTTATGGTCGGCCTGCGAAATTTTGGCTACCGATATCCTCGCTGAAAATTCCATACTTATACCAAAAATACGGTGTGGAATCAAGCTGTAATCAAAAAATAATAATCTAATAAGGGGAATAAATGTATAACAATGCAAGCCATTGTTAGAAGGGTGAGAAATCTTATCATTCTTGGGATTTGGAATGGAATTTTTTAGCTTCGTAAAAGCCATATGTATAGGGCATCTATTTGTGTACACTGAAGCTGAAGAAGTACTCCCCGCCGTTACTTGAATATCGGTTATTTATATCCCATTTTGTTCTACATAAGACCTAATTATCAAAAGGCTTAGTAGATAAAAACTTTGTAACAGTTTTCGAACACGAAACTGAACTACTTTTCAAGAGATGAAAAGCGATGACAGATCTTTTATTTTCACTTTCGTAGGCTAAAGGTCAACTGAAACAATAAAAACTTTTTGGTGAGGTACAGATGTAGAAATTCAACAACAGTAACTTCTAGATCTCGTATTGTGGTATTGGCTGTTTGAAAACACTCCTGAGAGTGAAATTATGAGACCCGTCAAAGATGGAAATCACTGAAGGGAAAAACGATGATGAAATGTGTAATTCTAGTTGCTATCAGAAAGTATTTACTAGATTATAGTCCAGTTTCAAAATGGTTTCATAAATCAAATTTTCTCAACTGGGGCGTTAAATCATTTAGGGGAGCATTAAAACCCTCTGCACCAGACAGTCAAGAGTAACCACACTGCACAGATAAACTTTATTTTCTCATTCTTATGTATTCATCTGCAAAGCGTATGTAAAATGACGAGTTTCAGATTATCTGTGTCCAGTTATACAGGGCAGAAGAAATTCCTCCCTTATATCTTATTTCCCTACCATCATAATTACTGATAGATTTAACCAGCTAGTGAGTGGATCCATTACAATTAAATAATAATGTCGAACAAGGTACAAAAGGATATTATCCCATACATATATATATATATATATAACATGCGATTTTGTCGACTTACTGTTTGTGTATCTACACCTTTGGTAATAGACCAACTTGATGTTACATAATCAATGACACGTTCAGCTAATTCCTTTGGCACTTCATGAATTCTCAGAAAATCTTTTACACTAGACATTAACTGTCTAAGTCTAGCTCGAGTTGCATGTGTTTGTTGTAAAATTGTTGCAACATTACCAAATATTGTTGCATAAACAAGTGCTGTTATTTTTCAAAAATAAGAAAAATAGATTTGTTGTTTAAGGGAGGAACAAGATAAATGCATGTAACTAAAATGTTACATATACGCATATTACATCTTTAGTACATATATGTTGTGTAAGAGTTAAGTACGCCTAAAAGTTAAAACAGTGTTGTGAGCCTAAATACAAGACAACCATTTCTGGATAAAATTTCAACTTGGCTTGTTAAAACTTACTTATTTGATAAACGACTGGAAGGAGAAGTTAAGTCATGATAGCTAATTACGGATGATTCCATTTTACGACATTTATAAATGGTGTGTCAGTGAGACATAGGTAGAATGCCCACCAATCACACATGTGGTCCGCGGTTCGATCCCAGGCCGGCGCAGCCCTTTGCCTCACTAAGCTAGTAATAGGTCTGGTAAAGAGGGAAGGTTAGACATGAGTTTATCAGCCTCATCCTCTAAAAATAAACACCAATGCTACCGAAACTTCAAGCCTCTAGCTTGAAGCTCTATGTTCCACTGCGAACTTAAAGGAATTAAAAAATCTAAAAAATGGTGGACAGCAACTAAATAACATGAATTCATTTTCATTTTATTTGTTCATGTTTATTAGGAGAATGAAAACACCACTACTACGCTGTATATGTGTTATGTACTCGTCGCCAAATTATTGTTATGTACTGGTCGAGAATTTAATAGTCCTGACGCAAGAAAGACGGAAATCAGAAGACCACTAGGTTTGCGATGATACTTCTACTTTCCAAACACAAGGAGAATCAAAATCACACAAGAGTGTGAGAGCAAAAATATATATATGAATGTCCGAACAAGTGTGTGAACAATCAATAGACAGTCTTAACATGATTGGCTAATTATAATGGAGTATCGATCCATATATACATAGCAAAATATAGCAGACATGTCAACAAACACACATATTATATGGATATATATATCACCAAGGACAGACTGTCAACAAACACACATATTATATATAATATAAGGGGAATATACATTGTTAAAGGAGACAGGTTCATCAAAGTGAAGTGGTCACAGACTAAGAGAGCAACAGAAAGAGAGACCACCATATATATATATATATATATATATATGGATACATATCAATATGCGATTCATTAGCTTAAGCACATGGCTGTCAGCTGAGGGCTCTCGGGTGCGAGTTCCACCCACTTTAGTCTTGGTAACTGTCTAGTAACATTAATCCTAACATAACAATCTTGGCTCATGATCTGGTACCCGAAAACTCTGATTCTGGTAAGGGGATTCTAAAAACAAATCTGAAGATTAATCAGCAACCGATATTAGATTAGTGAATAGAATTGTTAGCGAGTGTAATTCACTAAACGTAGACATCTTTATGCGTAGAGAAGTGAAGTAAACCAGACAGTCTCTAACCCACTGTATAACCCAATAATTAAAAATCAAGTGTTTATTCAAGACATCTAGTTTCTTTCTTTTAAATTCTAGTGGATGAGCTTTACTAGATTATACTTCGTAAAAAGGAAGGACAGACCATCATCACTCTGAATTCAGCTAGGAAATCTACAGCAATCAGCATGAATAACCAGATTTGGAATTTCAACACCAATGTTAAATCAGTGCTTCTGTATGAGTTAGAAATTTGGTGCACGCGTCAAAAAAGCATTTCCAGCAGGCTACTGCAGACCTCCGTCAACAAATGTCTTGGCTGACTTCACACTGAAGATCAGATGGTCAGTAGGGAAGAATTAGCAACAAGAAACTCCGGGAACGAACTAATCAACAACCTATTACTCAATACTTATGCTGAATAAAATGGAGATGGATCGGACATACATTGAGGAGACCGTTAGTTGATATCGCACAATACGCAGACACTATAATGGAATCTTGATAGGATGATATATTAGATAGTTGGAGGCAATCGGCCGCAGGAAGCCTAGCCTTGGACCCAGGTTTCGTGCTAGTTGACGGTCGTCAACAAGGCGTATCTGCAATCTTGGAGGAATTCATGTCCCTTCTGATATTCGAACCCATGTCGCCCAGTGCTGCAGTCAGAGACGTTGCCACTGAGCTATTTGGGCTCGTAATAGACCTTCCATAGGACTGTATTGGATAATTCTATCAGTCAGGATAGGAATTATTTCTAATGTTAGTGAGATTGGAATACACTTTTGACTTATTACTCCGGGCTTTTTATCCTTAATTAAACGCTAAATGAGTGATTATCTATCTACTCAGGCTATTTCGTATTCCCCTGGATTACTATTTTTATTAGGTCAAAATAGTCAGTCTTTATTGATGTGTCGGTTCTTAGCATAGAATCTTTGTTTATATCTAAAGTTTGACATGATGCTACATGGTTGATAGAGGGTAATTGTAGAGTCTACAATGCCCATTTCGTTCCAAATGCACCTTGTTAGTGGCGTATGAAACGATGGGTGTTTGGTTTGAGACTCAGTAAGAAGACGACTACTTATTGGGGTTCGAGGTGCACTCGACTGAAGAGTCTCGGGTAGCACAGAAAGCCCTTTTTCAATTCCACTGCTAGTAATCATTAACAGGATAACATGGTAAGTGAATTGGTTTAAAACTTCTTAGATATTTTTAAAAATCACGGTAATAGTTAAAAAACATTTCAACCGCTGAGATTTAAATGTAAGGGGAAGTTAATTAATCTCAAGTGTCATCCACCTTGCATTGCTTAAAATTGACTAAATTAATAGGAAATAAACACACTGAACTTCATGTTAGATGATTATCTTAAGGTAATGAGAAACGCCTTAAAGTTTTAATTAGACTTATCCACTTATTTTCATTTTCAAGACTAATTAAGACATGAAATAGTGTTAATATTATATACCTTATTATGAATATTAGTAAACAGTTTAATATGTAATAAGTATGAACATAAGTAAAACAACAGTTCAGCTCTCCTTACCGCATTAAACATCCTTCAGAGAGATTTAAGGTAATCAGAGTAGATAATTAACTTGAAATTAGTGAATTTTAAATCTAACTTTGTACTCTAAATGCATAAATAACCGCATTTTGGATAATTTAAATCCACATTGTTCCTTAGACAGATAATCTATCTAAAAAAGGGAAATAGCTAATTGCACCATATTCCTGACTGACTGGGTTTCAGCATGGAAATCTGCACAGAAGTGAAACATTTCGAGATGTCACACTCTATGTAGCACAGAAAGGTAGGTTATCGAGAGAAAAATTCAAGAGAACTGTAGTGAGCAGAAATATGCTAGGAGGAAGAATAGTAGCATAGAAAAAACCTCAGAGTTTAGTGGCTATGAGAGATCATAAAGCGTAAAGGCATCTAAACCACTGAGAACGAATTTGAGTCATGACACCAATAGTCTCTAGTCATTAGCTCAACCAGGCGGCCAACACCTCCCTATTTGGCTGATTCAAAGACTCATTTTCAACATTGCTCGTTGAAGAAGGTGATGGCTTTGGAGGTTGGCCTTTTCTAACCCCACCCCTCCAGAACAAAGGGGCAGCAGTATAACCAGTATGCTGGTCATATGAAGGAAACAGCATACTACTGTTACAAAATACCTATTCTCCAGCAGTACGATTTTACCTGCAGACACTTAAAATAATACAAACAGTTTACACTATGATGGTAACTGCTTTCAGTCTAATTTCTATCTAAACGACATTTCTGTCATGCTAGGATGTGCAGGAACATTAATTCCAGCCATTTAGCTGATTGGTTCACTACGATATGCAAGGCCGACCACCACATGAAGGTAACAGATATTGGTTAGGACGTCATATTTCAAGGGGCACTTCATCGCAAACAGATTTAATCTAGAGTACTACTAAAAACCAATGAAGTTACTATTTTATCCCAGCTCTGGTGTCATTCGCACCCAATACAACATGAGAGATCGAGTCTAGTACTGTCCGGTAACAGTTATTATCATTCGTTCTTTGGGTCTGAATCCTATTGGCTATGTCTGCTTGCGTTTCTAATCACTGATGTATGACCAATATATTGTATGACAAAAATATGATCTTCCAGATGTTTGATATCAGTCTAATATACACATGAGATGTGTTTATTTGTATTATTAATTAATCTTCTGATTAATACCGTTGTGGTAGCAGTGTGCTACTGACAAGATTTATAAGTAGTATGTAAAGAGGCTTTCACCGGCATGAAATCATCAAATAACAGGGAGATATATTTGACGTCAAAGAAAGCAAATGATTCAGAACTGCGGAGAAACATCGGGGATGTGAAATGAACTTGAAGAAACGTAATATGAAGGACAGAAGTAGAAAAACACTGAAGATCTGTGCAAATGGTGATTTGAAGATAAGGTGTACATCATTTGGCTATATAGAGATACCTAATTACAAATCCACATTACTTTACCAAGTCTTGCGTCTTCTACCGTTACAGTAGTAGTAATCTTAGATGGCTATCCTGCTGTAGTTTAGAATTTCATCACGAGTTGACATTAGTTAGAGAACCATTGGAAAACCTGGGAGTACTGGACAGCTGTTTCGTCCTAGTTTGGGACTCTTCAGCATTGAGGTTTCAAAGCTCAGGTCCAAGCCCTTCGTTTCACTTGGGATGCTAAGGTATGGAGAAGTTTTCATGCATCAGTTGAAAAACTACTTGACGATGGTTGAAGCATAAGAAATTTTCTCGTTTGCATTCCTTAGCCTAACTAATACAATGTAATTAACTGTTAATATTTCCTTACTGTACATAACACAACATGCCGTTATCTTTCTTCTGAGAAAATTGAAGGAGTATATCAACAATCTATGGAATGAATTTAAAACCACCACCATATATATATGTATACTAACTAACCCATAGTCATAAATGGAAATTTTCGCCATATATTCTATATTTACGCATCACTGTTGACTAATAACGTTGGTTCCTATTCTTCAAAACTCATTGTGGCAGGAGTTGAAGATTCCAGTCAAGTCTGTATACAGCTTCTTCCGTTAAATTCCCAAAAGAGTGAAAACCAAGTTTGTAAACTGAGGTTGAGATGTATTCAGCTGTGCTGTATTACTTCTATAACAGATTTGACTCGGTATTATACCGAATAGAACCATTTTAATGAAGATATACACAATACCTGTTGGTGAAATGTCCATGGTCAAATACAAATGATTGGATAACATCGAATGACTTCCATCTTCATTCTGGGTCATAAATCCTCCCGCCATCTGGCGTCTTTTAGTGTATATCCATAAGATACAGTCAGTCATTTTTTAGCCTGAGAGATCCATTCAACATGATATAGCTTATTTCGATTCTCAATATTTCTATTTATCATCCCCGCCATTTAGTTTTATCAATAAAATAAATAACAAACCAAAATCATATTTTAAAAAAAAAAGAGAATTGAGTAACTCTTTCATCACTGAGTCAACTCACTTACCTCCAATCAGCATAAAAACAACAGAGACAATCTTTTCTGAAGTTGTGTTAGCAGCTACATTCCCAAATCCGATACTCGTGATCACAGAAAGAGTAAAATAAAATGATGTCATATACAGCATAGACTGTGATGGCAAATGATCTTCCCATGAAGTATTACTCCAATTTTTTGGACCAGTTGTCTCATTTACCAAGTGTATAATCCATCCATGATAAATTTTATCCTTTAAATCATGCATTCCAACTAAATACCATACACAGGCTAGCCAGTGAGCTAACAATATGAAACAGAATAGCATAACTAACAGGATTGATGCCACGTATTCTAGATATTGATCCAACTTTCTCAAAACACGACATAATCTTAATAACCGAGCCAGTTTAAGTATACTGCACAAATTCAACAATGACTTTAGAAACAAGAGGGAAAAAATAATTAAAAAAATAGGTTACATGTTTGGGACAAATGAGTGTTCCAAAAGGCTTATTGAAATGCCTCAAGAATAATCACAAGATGACTTCAATTTGAGAGCCAAGGTGTACTGGAGAGTTGTTTTTTTCTTGTACAAGACTCCCCAGGTATATGCATCCATGACCGAACCAGGGATCGAAACTAGGACCTTCTAATTACAGAGCGAGCCAATGACCCGTCAATCTTGAATTCAGCCAGTTCCCGACACACAGCGCTGTTGTCTGTCAGCGTCATCGGTGAGAGTTTGTCCTCACACCCAACTTGACAGAATCCACTAGTCACGACTTCATACTAGAACCTCGGGCAACCTCATTCTGTATTTAGTTATTAGTGAGTAGAAGATTAATTTACAAGGACTTAATCTTAAGAGTGGTCCTGGGTTCGATTCCTGTTGCGTAGCGTCGAAGATTCTCAGGCAAGGAGGAAACAAGTATCCAATACTGCCTGGTTTTCAGTAGTTCTCTACCTGAAGTCAGTCAGATCCCTGTAAACGAATCAAACTTGAAAGCTACTGAAATATGTTCTGAAAATGAAAAAGTCGATTGTAGTTTGAATTCACTTGTTATCATAGTTGTTATCTTTATATGTAAATGAAAACATGCTTGTAAAATGAGAAATCTGAAATAAACATGTACATTGTTTCATTTTGATTCTCATATTTCTATAGTAATTTATACTTGAAGATTATTATAGCGAAAATACTCATTCAGGCATCTATAAAACACAAAATAATTAAGCAAAGAATATATTTTCGGTAAATTCCTCGTCTGGCTCTACATTTATATATATGTTTATATTCATATATACATATTACCAACAGTTCCTAGACAGGTCTTATTCTTACAAATGCAGTTCCTTGGGGACAGCGTCAGCGACATACTAACACAGCGCCTTAGAAATGCGGTAAAAAGAGCATTCCCTGCTGCCGAATTATGCTGTGTCTTCAAAACCACTCCTCATTTGCGTTCGGGAGTAAAAGACAAACTGACTAATTTCGTCTCTACCAATTTAACTGCTCCTGTGGAGTCAGTTACATAGGCCGTACAATTAGCCGCATTACTCGTCGAATTTCTGAACATCACCCTGCTTAGTGGTTAAGTAAAGGACAAACAAAATCTATTCGAAGCGCTCTTCTATCTCATCTTGTGGATACTGAACACAAGATTGATGTTGACCAGGCTTTCAGGGTCATTTACCGCATACCAACAAATCTCAGTTTCGCCTTAAAACTTCGACTATTAAACATTGCTGAGGATATTGGGATCCATATTAAGAAGCCTAATTTGTGCATCCAGAAGAAGTTAGTTCAGACATTATCTTTATTTTGTCCATCTAGGTTTGAATGATCCTGAATATTTGTGGAATTTTCATAATTTTAGTTGAAATTCTATTTGCTATTATATTTTTCAAGTATTGGTTTTGTAGGGATTTTGTTTGATTTCATGGAGGATTTAATCATGAGCTGACATCATTTAGATAACCACCGGAAAACCTTGGAGTACTGGACAGCTGTTTCGTCCTAGTTTGGGACTCTTCATCAGTACTCACCCACCGGGGTTCGAACCCAGGACCTTCTGGTTACAAGGCGAGCTCGTAGACCATTGATCCACTGGGACCCGATCCAATGGTCCTTGAATTCTAACTTCTGTCAATTATATTTTTATTATTATTATAATTCAAGCATCTTTAGTGAACTGTAGTTCCATTGATCTTACTTTACAAATCGATATTATTGTTAATGACTACTAATCTAGAATATTCTGTGTATATAAACATGCATATATACTTGTAGAGGCAGAATAGGAATTTATCGAAAAGGATATTCTTTGCTCAATTATTTTATGTTTGAAGATTATTAATCAAATAAGTTGAAATTTCTCTTCCAATCTTCCTTACCCGGTGGAATAGAATACCCTTAACTTTTTTTATAAACTCTGTAGACAGTTCTCAAGAAATTCAGGAAATTAAACAACCGCTTTTTTTATAGGTTTCCAGACCGTAGGTGTTACGAATTTCCTGGAATAATTTGAGCGCCGAGTCAGATTGATTCATTATAAATTATTTAAATTAATCCCAGCGTGTTAAGAAAATCAAAACAAGATTTTGCTGAACGTTCCGCCGTGTAAGCCACAGCTTCTTCAGCAGATTTATTCGGATTAATCCGAATTTAGATATGATAGAGAAGATTTGTAGCTCAGGTGGATAATTTTGATGTGGTTTTGTTCTCTGAGCTGGATAGTTAGTTTGCGAGCTTTCATCACCTTACTGGGTGACATCTTCAGCGCTGAAGATGTCACCCAGTAAGGTGATGAAAGCTTCGCAAACTAACTATCCAGCTCAGAGAACAAAACCACATCAAAATAATCCGAATTTAATTTAAATAATTTATAATGAACCGCTTTTTTTCTTTAGACTGGATTGCTTCCTAACGTCTGAGCATTTTCATGGTTCTTAAGATGTCTTCTGTGAGGTGATCGATCACCTTTTGGTTAATTAAACAAAACATATGATTTAGAATTCGACTTTGTATTTCTACAAGTCTATCTTCTCTCAGACACCTTCATCAGTTCGCAAAAAGGCAGAGATGATTAAACCAACCTAAAACAGCTATTTAATTAACTAGACTGACTTCGTCGTAGGCTTTATTCTATAACTTTTGATTCGTAATCAGCTTTTATAAAAAATTTCAGATGTGTAGTTTTTGAGTTATGTGTGAATTCAGAGTATTATTCAGTAGACCCATACCACTAAAAGCAGTTCTCGGTATTAGTGAAACTATGGTCAGCGGTTTGATCGCTGAAAATCCTGTTATTCTATCAGTTTTATAGCCAGTAATATCATTAAGCTATAGGACTTAGCAGAAAGAATAACATCCGAACTTTTAGCATTAATATCAAGCCAGTCAGTGCTTCTATATGGTCCAGAGACCTATAGGATGTCATGAAAAGCTTTTACAACATCCTCCAGAAGACTCTCATTTATACTTGACTTCTTTGACTCAATAGCGAAGATAAAGTGGTCAGCAAGAAAGGATAAGAGGTAAAAAAACTCTGGCTGGTAACGAAATAGCCGAGAACCTATTGCCCAACAAATATGCAGAGGGGAATGAAGGTGGATTGAGTATACGCTAGGGAGACTACTGAATAGGCCTCTGAGTGGAACTCGAACTGTAAGCGACGACTTGGGCATCCGAGGGTGATATGGAGGAGATTATATGAAGAAGGGGAAACCAAAGCTTGTAGGCAGTCATCCAGCTAGCTGAAAATGATGATAGAGGACCAAATACAATGGAGATGCACTGCCAAAGCCTTAAGTTCCAATCGTAATGCAAAGATTGAGTAATATAATGTACATATGTATGACCACATATATCAGAAATAATTCAAACTTACTGCATTATCACTAAATATTGCGAGAATTCCAAATGGCAGTGAAGATATCAGATCGACTACAAACCAACCTTTCAAATAATTTAGGCGTATTAAAACAGGATCTGAAATAACAGCACCAGATGGTCCAACAAATGTTGTATGAAAATTTAATACAATATCAATGAAAAAAATGATATCAACTATATGCTCTACAGCAAAATATACTGACTCTTCAGATAATGAATGATGACCAAATGCAACACTGTAGGGTATTATAATACATGTATATCCAGTTAACAGAAATATAATCCAATCCCAGGCAGTTTTAAAAGTTAAATAATGCAGGACAACATGAGGTGGAGTTTTTGGCGATTCTTGACGATATTTCGGTATACTGGTACTTTGGACTGGAGCAACCTGCAAGTGAAGGAAAATGGAAAGGTATGAAATATGACTAAGGGCTTGAAAGAAGTGACACACATACAGCAATATAACGCGAACGTAATTACAATAAAACCCAGATGAACATTAAAAAAACCGAAGTTCAAAATAAAGTTCAAAAAAAGGTGGCAAAAATGAAGTACGAAAACAAAGGAGAACACCCCAGAAGAAAACAAAATTACAAAAAAAAAAAATTGAAGATGGTAATGGAAACACTAAAAAAAAACAACCAGAAACAAGAAAAAATAAAAATATCGAGAAAAAAACCACTGACAAAGAACAACGGAAATTAGGTTGAAAGAAATTAAACCGCAGAGTGAATGTAGGATTATGCTCGCGTAATGCGAGTGTGTGACAGTGAATGCTTGAGGAGGTGGGAGAGTCGGGGGTATAGCTCAGTGGTAGAGCATTCGACTGCAGATCGAGAGGTCCCCGGTTCAAACCCGGGTGCCCCCTTCACTTTTCAATTCACACAAACAAACTCCATCCACTCACCACATAGTCGATACGAGATTACCCACAAAAATTAGTGCTGAATAAACACACGTGGACACAGTCCAATCCACTAGCAATTCAACTGACACGTGTATCCCGGTGTCACAACCTCAAACACTTCACGACCAACCAGTCAGTCACTCAACTGGAGACATAGAAGAAGAAACCACAGTCAATTCAATGTACACACACACACACATGCATGCATGCATGCATGCACGCACGCACGCACGCACGAATGCAGCACAGACATCAGATAGACAGGCAGACGGACAGAGGCTAAATTCAAAAATAATTAAACTGGAAAATGAAACAGCCAATGAGAGTGGCGCCAGGTTAGATTGACTTGTCTTGTGGATGATGAGGAAGAGACAGTCAGCTGGTCAATTCAAGTCAGTTGGTTCACATGAGCATACATGAGAGGGTGATGAGGAGGGAGGAAGTGATTACAGAGCGTTATGATACTAGTGACACTATGGGATACCGAGGAGGACGTGTGTAGCGTGTGTATGGCGTGAGTAGCGTGTGGGCCGTGGGTGGAGAGTGAGAGCAGCGAGCGATAGCCAGAAGTGGTTATCTTACATATTGGTAGGAAGTGTTGTGAAAAAGGTGTACACACTTGCCGGAACCCGGGATCGAACCGGGGACATTTAGATCTTCAGTCTAACGCTCTCCCTGCTGAGCTATTCCGGCGGCCGACAGCACCACCTCTCACATCAACTCCTCATCACAAGCACATCCTTATTATTATGCAGAAGGACGCAGATCAACAAACACTTCAAATTCACTGACACAAACACAAAAATACACTCACAAATACACAACATCCTCTCAAACGCCATACCAAACACTACGAGATGCACAAATCACCAAGACAATCGTCTCCGACAACACACTCAACTCAGTCTACTACCTATCGATGAGCATGTCGGCAACCACGTCTCCCTCCAACCCTCACCTCCCCTCCCGCCAATCAACAACCACAATCAAGGCGAACTCCACGACAGACAATCGAGGCACGCATGCATTCCACGCACTCATCGAGCTACCGACAGTTCACAAATACACGTGTATTTCGGAGATCAGTGATTAACGTCAGGATAGTCTTCGGGTGGAATAGTGACAGACAGGATTGTGCATCACTTGGTCATCAACAAGACAGCGTGTTGGCATTGTATGTGAATGTGGAATGATGCTTTTGTGGTGTGCTTTGTGTATTTTGTCTGACGCCAGAATTGAGTGTGGTGTGAGTTTGATCAAAAGCGCTCCCGCGCCGGGAGTCGAACCCGGGCCGCCTGGGTGAGAGCCAGGAATCCTAACCGCTAGACCACGCGGGACGCCAACTTCACGCCACCTACAACAACACAGAATCAACCGCCAAATACTCACCAACTAATTCACACACTTCTTCGACAACCAAACACAATCACCTACCTACACATCTCACAACGCTACTCAGGCACACTTCTTCCCACTCCTCTCCTTTCTTATGTCCTCTTCCTTCTCATGTTCGCGCACCAACAAAATAACAAACAAACTGGTGGACAAACCAATCAACAAACAAACAGACAAACACACACACACACACACACTCTTCTTCGTCCTCATCAAACGTGTCAGCCTCTTATGATTCTCTAATGATTCTTTCACTCCACACCGTGACACCATCATTGATTGTCATCTTCATCGTCATTGTCGACATGGGCGTCGAAGTCAACATTGGCCTTCGACACTGCGTCCATGTGCATATCTGTTGTGTTCGTGGTTGTGTGTGTGTGTGTCTCTGTCTGTCTGTCTGTCTATGTTGTGTTCGGAATGTGTAGTCTGTGTTTCATACACACTGTGATGTGAGTGGTTTTCGTGAGAATTTGTGGTTGAATAATTCACTGTTGAATGATTGTTGGTTTGTGTTTGTGTTATGCGAGTGTGTGACAGTGAATGCTTGAGGAGGTGGGAGAGTCGGGGGTATAGCTCAGTGGTAGAGCATTCGACTGCAGATCGAGAGGTCCCCGGTTCAAACCCGGGTGCCCCCTTCACTTTTCAATTCACACAAACAAACTCCATCCACTCACCACATAGTCGATACGAGATTACCCACAAAAATTAGTGCTGAATAAACACACGTGGACACAGTCCAATCCACTAGCAATTCAACTGACACGTGTATCCCGGTGTCACAACCTCAAACACTTCACGACCAACCAGTCAGTCACTCAACTGGAGACATAGAAGAAGAAACCACAGTCAATTCAATGTACACACACACACACATGCATGCATGCATGCATGCACGCACGCACGCACGCACGAATGCAGCACAGACATCAGATAGACAGGCAGACGGACAGAGGCTAAATTCAAAAATAATTAAACTGGAAAATGAAACAGCCAATGAGAGTGGCGCCAGGTTAGATTGACTTGTCTTGTGGATGATGAGGAAGAGACAGTCAGCTGGTCAATTCAAGTCAGTTGGTTCACATGAGCATACATGAGAGGGTGATGAGGAGGGAGGAAGTGATTACAGAGCGTTATGATACTAGTGACACTATGGGATACCGAGGAGGACGTGTGTAGCGTGTGTATGGCGTGAGTAGCGTGTGGGCCGTGGGTGGAGAGTGAGAGCAGCGAGCGATAGCCAGAAGTGGTTATCTTACATATTGGTAGGAAGTGTTGTGAAAAAGGTGTACACACTTGCCGGAACCCGGGATCGAACCGGGGACATTTAGATCTTCAGTCTAACGCTCTCCCTGCTGAGCTATTCCGGCGGCCGACAGCACCACCTCTCACATCAACTCCTCATCACAAGCACATCCTTATTATTATGCAGAAGGACGCAGATCAACAAACACTTCAAATTCACTGACACAAACACAAAAATACACTCACAAATACACAACATCCTCTCAAACGCCATACCAAACACTACGAGATGCACAAATCACCAAGACAATCGTCTCCGACAACACACTCAACTCAGTCTACTACCTATCGATGAGCATGTCGGCAACCACGTCTCCCTCCAACCCTCACCTCCCCTCCCGCCAATCAACAACCACAATCAAGGCGAACTCCACGACAGACAATCGAGGCACGCATGCATTCCACGCACTCATCGAGCTACCGACAGTTCACAAATACACGTGTATTTCGGAGATCAGTGATTAACGTCAGGATAGTCTTCGGGTGGAATAGTGACAGACAGGATTGTGCATCACTTGGTCATCAACAAGACAGCGTGTTGGCATTGTATGTGAATGTGGAATGATGCTTTTGTGGTGTGCTTTGTGTATTTTGTCTGACGCCAGAATTGAGTGTGGTGTGAGTTTGATCAAAAGCGCTCCCGCGCCGGGAGTCGAACCCGGGCCGCCTGGGTGAGAGCCAGGAATCCTAACCGCTAGACCACGCGGGACGCCAACTTCACGCCACCTACAACAACACAGAATCAACCGCCAAATACTCACCAACTAATTCACACACTTCTTCGACAACCAAACACAATCACCTACCTACACATCTCACAACGCTACTCAGGCACACTTCTTCCCACTCCTCTCCTTTCTTATGTCCTCTTCCTTCTCATGTTCGCGCACCAACAAAATAACAAACAAACTGGTGGACAAACCAATCAACAAACAAACAGACAAACACACACACACACACACACTCTTCTTCGTCCTCATCAAACGTGTCAGCCTCTTATGATTCTCTAATGATTCTTTCACTCCACACCGTGACACCATCATTGATTGTCATCTTCATCGTCATTGTCGACATGGGCGTCGAAGTCAACATTGGCCTTCGACACTGCGTCCATGTGCATATCTGTTGTGTTCGTGGTTGTGTGTGTGTGTGTGTGTCTGTCTGTCTGTCTATGTTGTGTTCGGAATGTGTAGTCTGTGTTTCATACACACTGTGATGTGAGTGGTTTTCGTGAGAATTTGTGGTTGAATAATTCACTGTTGAATGATTGTTGGTTTGTGTTTGTGTTATGCGAGTGTGTGACAGTGAATGCTTGAGGAGGTGGGAGAGTCGGGGGTATAGCTCAGTGGTAGAGCATTCGACTGCAGATCGAGAGGTCCCCGGTTCAAACCCGGGTGCCCCCTTCACTTTTCAATTCACACAAACAAACTCCATCCACTCACCACATAGTCGATACGAGATTACCCACAAAAATTAGTGCTGAATAAACACACGTGGACACAGTCCAATCCACTAGCAATTCAACTGACACGTGTATCCCGGTGTCACAACCTCAAACACTTCACGACCAACCAGTCAGTCACTCAACTGGAGACATAGAAGAAGAAACCACAGTCAATTCAATGTACACACACACACACATGCATGCATGCATGCATGCATGCACGCACGCACGCACGCACGAATGCAGCACAGACATCAGATAGACAGGCAGACGGACAGAGGCTAAATTCAAAAATAATTAAACTGGAAAATGAAACAGCCAATGAGAGTGGCGCCAG